CACACACACACACACACACACACACACACACACACACACACACAGAACATCTTAAGTATGGCTGTAACATTATAACTCAAAAAAGAAAAAGAAAAAACCCCAAAAAACTATTGATACTTTACTTATAAACATTGTTTCAACCCGCAGATGGACTGAAACTGCTGGAGTTGCTGGATGGGCTGAAAGTCTGGACACTCACACGGTGCTCGATACACTGAAGCTGCTTTTATAATCACAGTTGGCTTACTGAACAAACAATTGAACTTTAAGCAAGCAACACCACAATGATTCAAGAACAATGAACACTGTAACTGCCTCTTAAAGAAAAACAAACATTGTGATTGGAGTAGCTCATCTGTTCTGATCATTGCTGCTAGGTAAGACTTGATCGTCTATGAGTACCAGAAAGCGGACCTCAGTGAGCACAGCTAATGACTGATGGTGTCCTCTAGAAGGAAACGGATAATGCAAAACTGTTTGTTCTAATTGCTTTTATATACACAGGCAACACTGCACTTCTGGAAACTGAATAGATTCAATCTGTGAGGTAAAGAACAAGTAGTTTCCCCCCCCCCTGTATATATACACACTTTTTATTACCATGGTATAAAAACAAAATAAATAAAGCTTTTGATTGAGCTATGATTTTGCATGTTATATTTTTTTCTCCACCTCTAGGAATGTACACAAAAGCTTACACTGATTAATATGGGGGGGAAAGGGAAACCATTGATTAACATCATTTATATGCTGTATGTTTGGCGCATTGGGAGTGTCTTTGGAGTTTAATTAGTTGTTGTTTTCTTTGGTTGTCACAGTAACAAGTTGTTTGGCAGCTTTGGCTATGTCATAGGCGCACTGAATGACCTGCTGAGTGACCAGCTGGATGTCTGACGGGCTGAGGTTGTGTTCTGCGGCCTTCTGGCACTCTCTGTGGAGCCGGCTAGCGCTTGAAGTCAGCAGACACAGAGACCCTCGCACTGTCTCTGAGGACGGCCTCTGAAGGGAGGAGGGAAGGAGATTTGATAAGGCGAGGACATGAAAGCGTTCGTAATCACTTTATGTGCTAGGCAGGCACTGGATTTCTATGAGACTACAACAAGGTAAATATTGAGATGGTAAAACAATACAATCCAATACAAGCAGTGGAACAAGCAGGTGCCACCTATCTGGACAAATAATTTTAAGCTGCTTTCACACATCCAGCCAAGCTATGAGAACAAAATGTCAGATCTGGTTCGATCAGACATTAAGCACTCTTTACTCTGTTGGGTCTCTATTACAAAGTCCGTCTGATGTGAGAATATAGCGAGTTTCACTCAAGCAACACCCTCAAAGAGTATTTGGCTTAATAAAGATTATATCCTGTTGCGTGCTACGTGTGATAAAGTGCCGCTTCTGACAATGTCCCAACCTTATTCTCCTGACATTTTCAGGAGTTCATGTGTGGAAACAACTGCCTTCAGCTGTTGTCAGACAAAGCAAATTGTTCCATTGGACACTGAGCTGCTCATCTTACCTTGGGAAACAGGGCAGCCATCTCTGTCACAGCCATGCAGATTTTTTCAGAGCAAGGCAGAAAGCTGCAGTAGGAGGAGACAAGAAGGATGAATGGGTGAAATTTTTTTCCACAAACCTTTCTCAAAACGATCAAAAAGAGCAACGGGGTGTAATAGTGTTAGGCTATTTAGGATTTCATTCAACTGTTTTCAAAGTTGTACAGTAAATAAATAAAGAATAAGCGATCATTTAAAAACAATACTTGGCACCTTTCTGTTCTATGAAAGCAGTGAATGGCATTTCTGGGCAGGGCCACACCACGAAGGACATTTATTTAACACTATTTTAAAATCTGCTGCCTTGATCAGCAGCACGTCTTAAAAATGTGAACAGACCAAAACAGTCGATGTATGTAATTTATCTTTTAAAGCCATTTGAATGAAACGCATTTTTCAATAATCGAATCAAATTTTTTTATGTCACTCAAATGTGTACACACATGACTAACGTAGGCAGTGCTAACATGCTAGCACCAGCAGCCTGTCCTTGTTTGTTTACACACCGCTTCAGTTGAGAGGTTGTATGCCAGTTTAGTCGAGCAGAATCGTGCTGGCTCACACGGCTGTTGTGCGTTATACTTTCCACCGTTCTTATTTACAACTTCCCATTCCAGAGAGACAATGGCTCTAGTTCATTAATAAAATATGAACTATTATTTTAGTACCAGCTAGTGTTTCTAGAAGCGACACGGAAGTTCAGCAGCATTTAACCATGTAGCTGCTCATATCCCTGGAGCTAGATGGGAAACATTGTTAATCTCAAGATATTTACACAAAAGAAAAAGGGGGACAATGTAAGCAATAACCTACAAAAAGGAAAACGGGTAGCAGTGTGGAACAGTTAAAAAAAAAAAAAAAAACTACAGTAAAAATAATAAAGAAATTATTAATAAACAAGTAACTACTGTGGACTTGGCAAACCACAGGGGAAAATAAGATCATGTGCTGTTTGTTTCCTGTTAGGTGCATTGACAGACCTAAGACCCACACTCCTTAGACTCACACAGAGGGATCCTAAACAGGGCTGGAAATCAGAGTGCTGCTTGGTTATCACCAATATGTGAGTAACTGTATTCACGCTGCAACTCAGGTGAAAATAAGGAGACTTTTAGTTCCTTAGGATGCAAGCTGGCATCATCCAGGCCAAGGCCCTATACACAACTTTTAAAAAAAACCACTGACCTAAAAGCACCTGGGCAAAGTCAGCTCTTAAACAAATCAGGCAGAATGACAGAAATACAAGCACGGAATCTGAGCCAGACGGTGGAAAAACTGAGGTTCACAGTGCATCGGGTGAAAAGATTTTATTTTGAATAGCTAGAAATTTCAGATGTTTTTGAAATATAACTTGGCTCATTTTGTATAAATATCACATTACATGTTATTCATATAACTGCTCAATACCTTTCATGTTTGGTCTCCTGAGCAGCTCTCAGAAGCTCCTGGATGTTCTTAGTGATCTGCTCCGTCTTACAGATGACGTCCTCTGTGCAAGGCAGGGTGGCATCCTCCTCGCCCTCCTCCTGCTGGTGGGCTGCTTCAGAGGCAGCAAGAGGGCTGCTACAAATAAAAACAGAGAACTGACAACTGATCTTCTTACAGGAGTGTTACTTAAAGAACCCACCAAACAATGAATTATACAATAAAGGTGGATCTTTTGAAGAGGATAATGAAATCAAGATGAAAACAAAAAGTATCACACAGAGAGTTGACCTCAAAAGTACCTGTTGGGTGGAGTTTGGATAAAAGAAAAACTCTACTTTGAAAGAAACAGCTTTTTACAGAAACTGGTTGACTTCAGGCTAAAGTCAGGGTCAGGCTTCTAAAAGCTAAAGGACGATAAATTACAGAGGACAATATTCTAAATAACTGATCTGTAGTGAAGCCAGTAGGTGGGTGCAGTGTTTCCCGACAGACTTCGCTTGAACGGTGAAGCTTTTGACTGGTACTACACATCCTGCAATTTAATGCCATTTTTTCATAATTGGTGGGAATAATGCAGTGGCTTTATTAGTGGAAAATCCCCTTGCTCTTATTTTGAAAGTTCAGTTGCTCCTAATCTCCCATTTTCCATTGGGCAGGCTGACCGGGTCGCTGTTGTGGCGGTCCTCAGCTGCCTCTCAAGAGACTAGAACATTTCTTAACAAGTGGTATACCCTTACTTAATTAGATTCACTCCTATTTTTTTCTTTAAAATAAGGTTAATCTTATCTAAATTCATAAATGTTAGAATTTGGTTTATATGTCAAAATATTTTTGGGAACTGTATATTATTTCATTGAACCGTGCAGGCAGGCTGAACGGCTCAAAGCCGTTTTTTTTCCTAAACACCTGTCAAAACTAATCCACATCTGGCTTCCCGTTCTCCATTCCTGTGACCTTTAACTTTGTAAGCTTCGGCTCCATCAATACTGTCATGTCTCGAGACAAGAAACAGGGGGAAAGGCTTATCCTTTTTTTTTCCATAACTTGTTCCTTTTGCTTTGAACATCCATCCATCCATCTTCCGCTTATCCTTTTCAGGGTCGCGGGGGGCGCTGGAGCCTATCCCAGCTGTCATAGGGCGAGAGGCAGGGTACACCCTGGACAGGTCGCCAGTCTGTCGCAGGGCAACACACAGAGACAGACAACCATTCGCACTCACATTCACTCGCACATTCACACCTAGTGGCAATTTGGATTATCAATTAACCTATCCCCACAAGCTGCATGTCTTTGGACGGTGGGAGGAAGCCGGAGTACCCGGAGGAACCCACGCAAACACGGGGAGAACATGCAAACTCCACACAGAAAGACCCCGGCCTGATGTTGGAATTGAACTCAGGAACCTTCTTGCTGTGCGGCAACAGTGCTAACCACCGTGCCACCGTGCTGCCGTGCTTGCTTTGAACAGTTGGTATATTAAAAAAATGTGATGCGTGCACTTCTTTCAGGAGAGAGTAAGCAAATCTTGCAAAGGGGCTTCTTTGATGTTTTATACAGGGAGTGCAGAATTATTAGGCAAATGAGTATTTTGTCCACATCATCCTCTTCATGCATGTTGTCTTACTCCAAGCTGTATAGGCTCGAAAGCCTACTACCAATTAAGCATATTAGGTGATGTGCATCTCTGTAATGAGAAGGGGTGTGGTCTAATGACATCAACACCCTATATCAGGTGTGCATAATTATTAGGCAACGTCCTTTCCTTTGGCAAAATGGGTCAAAAGAAGGACTTGACAGGCTCAGAAAAGTCAAAAATAGTGAGATATCTTGCAGAGGGATGCAGCAGTCTCAAAATTGCAAAGCTTCTGAAGCGTGATCATCGAACAATCAAGCGTTTCATTCAAAATAGTCAACAGGGTCGCAAGAAGCGTGTGGAAAAACCAAGGCGCAAAATAACTGCCCATGAACTGAGAAAAGTCAAGCGTGCAGCTGCCAAGATGCCACTTGCCACCAGTTTGGCCATATTTCAGAGCTGCAACATCACTGGAGTGCCCAAAAGCACAAGGTGTGCAATACTCAGAGACATGGCCAAGGTAAGAAAGGCTGAAAGACGACCACCACTGAACAAGACACACAAGCTGAAACGTCAAGACTGGGCCAAGAAATATCTCAAGACTGGTTTTTCTAAGGTTTTATGGACTGATGAAATGAGAGTGAGTCTTGATGGGCCAGATGGATGGGCCCGTGGCTGGATTGGTAAAGGGCAGAGAGCTCCAGTCCGACTCAGACGCCAGCAAGGTGGAGGTGGAGTACTGGTTTGGGCTGGTATCATCAAAGATGAGCTTGTGGGGCCTTTTCGGGTTGAGGATGGAGTCAAGCTCAACTCCCAGTCCTACTGCCAGTTTCTGGAAGACACCTTCTTCAAGCAGTGGTACAGGAAGAAGTCTGCATCCTTCAAGAAAAACATGATTTTCATGCAGGACAATGCTCCATCACACGCGTCCAAGTACTCCACAGCGTGGCTGGCAAGAAAGGGTATAAAAGAAGAAAAACTAATGACATGGCCTCCTTGTTCACCTGATCTGAACCCCATTGAGAACCTGTGGTCCATCATCAAATGTGAGATTTACAAGGAGGGAAAACAGTACACCTCTCTGAACAGTGTCTGGGAGGCTGTGGTTGCTGCTGCACGCAATGTTGATGGTGAACAGATCAAAACACTGACAGAATCCATGGATGGCAGGCTTTTGAGTGTCCTTGCAAAGAAAGGTGGCTATATTGGTCGCTGATTTGTTTTTGTTTTGTTTTTGAATGTCAGAAATGTATATTTGTGAATGTGGAGATGTTATATTGGTTTCACTGGTAAAAATAAATAATTGAAATGGGTATATATTTGTTTTTTGTTAAGTTGCCTAATAATTATGCACAGTAATAGTCACCTGCACACACAGATATCCCCCTAAAATAGCTAAACTAAAAACAAACTAAAAACTACTTCCAAAAACATTCAGCTTTGATATTAATGAGTTTTTTGGGTTCATTGAGAACATGGTTGTTGTTCAATAATAAAATTAGTCCTCAAAAATACAACTTGCCTAATAATTCTGCACTCCCTGTATTTGTGATCAAAGTGGCCTTCATTTTAAACCTATACAGAGAAAATGGTGTTTTAGTCTTTAAAATCAACAGTTAACAGAAGAAGATCTTACCCACTCTCCTCCATTTCAGAGTGATTGGGTGTAGTGTCATAGTCATTCTCCAGCACTGTACTCTGTCCTTCCAGACTACAGCCCTGTAGGAATGTCAGAGGACAACAGTCAATCAAACACAGTATATACTGTATGTGATTAGTTAGATAAGTTATCACAGCAGCAAATGTGGCCGCACAGAAATTAGAAACATGCAATTCTAAAATCAAACCTGTGATCTCATTATTATTAAGACATCTCACTGTGAAGAGAAAAAAAAGGCAGAAACGATACAATCAGTTCATGTGGCGGAGCACAGCTGCACTGCCCAGGATGCGATTAGTAGACGCGAAGATGTCAACTGTCCTCTGTTTTATCAGAAAGTTATCCCTAAAAAGCACAATGTGGTGATCCGTTATACATCTTTCACATATACTGGATTCAGCTGTCGGATTATTCAAGCAGCCATCTCTGATGCAACATGTCAGCACTTTTGACAATGAGAAGCTGGGGTGCTCAGAAACTGAACTGTAGCAGAGGCACTGCAGTGCATGCATGCAGGCAGGAGATGCTGAGAAAAGGCAGTTTATAGACACAGGTCAGGAGAGAAGACTGTGGGGTCAAAGAGGACAGTTTTCACCGTCCCCTGGGGCTGCCTCTGAGCCGCGGGAATTTTCAGTACTTAACCCTTCGAGATCTCTCATCCCACGACCAGGAGAGGGAAGAGGGGAAGGTAGGAAGGGAGGAAGCAGCCGTCCCCAAAGGACCCCTACCAATCTAGAAAGGGGTCAAACCAAGTTGAGCATACTCTATTGAGATGCAATGAATGAATGAATGAATGAATATAAAAAAAACAACAACACCAGCCCCAAGCCAGGCATCACCACTTTGGTAAATTAAGAATGAAAACAGTGGTACTCCTGTGCTTACATTGGTAGGGAAGGGTTGTAAAATGACTCCATCGTCATGCCGAGCTGTGTCAACTCGGTGGGGGTACTGCCTTGGAGTAGAGCCTGTCTCATACATGGACCTGGCGCGGCCTCCGCGAGGTTGCTGTCGACCAAAGAGGCCCTGGGGTTGTTGCTGTCCGCTGGGGGTTTGCCATCGCAGTGTTGTGTTTTCAGTCTGCAGGGAATTCAGCTGTAGAGAACAAAAACATCTTTCAATTTGACTCTTAACTGTGAGCTGATCTCCACACAAAAGCCGGGCGCGGCACCAATAATAGAGTAGATTACAGCTAGGCCTCCAGGTGGGAAGCTATTCGGATAAGGTTCAACTTATCTTCATCTCTGTTTTGTTCTTGTTTCTGCTCAAGGTCCTTCAAACAACAAAAGGCTTGCTTCCTTGACAAATGAAATGCTGACAATGTATGTTGAAAAAACAAACAAACAAACAAAAAAAAAACCCCACCACAGATCTTGAAGTGCGACACCCCCTGATAAAGTGCCACAGAGGGGGTTGCCCTTATTTACACAAACAGTGCTTACACTCTGAAAAAACAACAGCTTCAAAAAACAAAAAGTAGGTATTACTATGCAAAAATAAGCACATCAAGTCAATATTTAAAACTATGAGACATACCCAAGGTAAAGTTGAGAGGCATCAATAAAATAAACCTGGGATTCTGATGAAGCACAAGGGGTACAGACCGCACAAAAACTGGGTTGTCTACAATTTTGTCCTTTGCTTTAGTTTATGTTTCTGAGTGCAACAATGACTGATGTAACATATAACACAAATTACATTAGAAAATGCAGTTATAGAGAAACAGTTTTTCCTATGATCATCAGTATTGTAAGAACTTGAATGCATATTTTCTCTAACAACAACAACAAAAAAAAAGCCTTTGTTGACTGATTTTGTTGCACTTCAGTCTTTACATCCACAGGCGTTTTGTTCGGCTCTGCTACTTTTCTACCAGAGAGAAGGGGAGGGAATAGTAAACACGATTGTTTCCCAAAAACAAGTAGAGCTGTAAAAATGTGCATGTTTGAATACCACCGGGGAAAAGAGGGACTTTCGAAATACCAAGATATGAGGAAGTGAGTGATGTGGCATGCCTGAAATAAATAGTATAAATTAGACAGTTGTGGGTTGTGGGTCTACAAGTCAGGAACCTAACTTGCTGACATTTGTGTAATGGAAAAAGCTAACTCCAGTTATTTTTCTGCATTTAGGTGGTTCCTAAATAATCATTGCAGATTTATGCTATGGAGCAAAATGTCCTCTGTGGGTTGCCTTTTAAGATCTGACATAGGATTTGAGTTTACATCACAAACATCTATAACATAAAATACTGCTTTGCAATTTGAAATCTGCTATCCTTGTCACAGGAATCTTAATGCATCCAGACACATTGTAGCCATTTTCTCTGTTCACAAAAAAACAACAGCATGACTTCCTTAAATGATTTTCAGTTACATCTAACTGCTTATTAACACAAAATATCTAATCAGCCAGCCTAACAGGAAGGCAACATTAACTCAAAGAACCACTTATTATAACCAGCGTGTGCAGAAGAAGAACAACAGGTGGAATCTTGAAGCAGATGGGCTACAGCAGCAGAAGACCACACCGTACATAACTCCTGTGAGCTTAGAGCAGGTAACTTGCACAGGCTCACCTAAACTGGACAAGAGAAAATTGACCTGCTGTGATGAGTCTCAATTTCTGCTGTGACATTTGGATGATAGGGTCAGAATTTGGTATGAACGATTCGAAGAACAACTGTTCAGGCAGGTGGTGGTGGTGAAATGTTGTGGGAGCTATTTAGTACCCTTTAGTACCAAATGACCATCATTTAAACACCATAGCTACCTGAGTATCATTGTTAACCATGTCCATGACTTTATGACCACGGTGTACCCATGTTCTGATGGCTGCTATGATAACATGCCAAGTCACAAAGCTCAAATTTACAGTTACCTCAGTCTTGAAGACAAAATAAAAAACAAAACAAAAAAAAAAAACAGCATTTCTTTTGTTTTTCATTTTGAATAATGTATGATTCTATCTATACATACACACACACAAACCATTTAAGACTGTGTAGAGTTAAGAAAGCATTTTAGGGTAAAGACAGTGATACATCTCATCTATAAACCCTGAGTTGGGTTATACTAACATTACATGTTAAACACAATTTCAGGATGTTATGTTTAAATAGCAACATTATTATGCAATTTATAACCAGAACAAGAAACACCAGAGACAATGTGATACATAAAGTGACCTCGACTTTTGCGTCTTAACTAACCTTGCTCTGCATCAAACGTAGCTCTTCACTAAGGTGACAGTTGACTTTCAGAAGCTGTTGTATTTTGGCTTCTGATGCAGTGAGGGCGCTCTTCACCTCCATAAATTCTTGCACTGTGATTGGTCCATCAGACAGATCAGAAGACTCTGAGCTCTGCAGTGAAACATGCATACGGACATAAGATGGGATTCATTTGATCTGTATTACAAGTAAAGCCTACAGTAAGCAATGGAATAACAGGCTTCAAGAGACATTAACCTTGGTCCTTCCATCATTGCAGCTGTCTCCACACGTTGCCTCTTGGACCGGATCTTCATCTGATGCCACACTGTCGTAATCTGGCTGGTCATTATCTTGGCCCTCACTGTTGTGGTGACCGTCTATTCCCTGAAGGATCAACTCCACATTATCTGAAAGCAGAGCCAAAGATCAAAGGACTAGGGATCAAACAGCAGTGCTGGCTACGGGCAGCTGTTTCAATCCCTTTTTATTGATTGAATCCAACACCCAGCATTCTTTATAGTGACCTCCTACAATTTTTCTTGGTTTTCTGTGAGTTGCAGCATGCAGGACATTATTAAGCCCCTTTTCACACATGGTTGAAACTTTAATTGTTGTCTGTGTACCGTAGCGTTGTCTATATTTCGCTCCACATTGAACTACAAAGAAAACACTTTCTGCATCTTATTATAGGCCAACAAATTTAGGTTCCCCCCCCCCACTGCTTGCGGTTTTTGAAAGTGTTCTTCTGTTTATATGCTAAGCAGGACATTTACAAACTTAATATAGCCCAAAAAATAAAAGCAGATTAGCAGGGGAATTTAACATGTGCTACAAGTGGAAAATAATCATGTCCTACCTTTGGGACTTTCACAGGAATTACCCCACTGCCGTCGCTTAGCATCTGTTAGAATATCGATGACCAGTGTGGCAAATTCGTGAGCACTAAATCTTGCCAATTTCTGACGACCCTGAGAAAGCAAATAGATTAAAACCAAACCAATTACCAAATCTACTAGTCGCATACAAAGAAGTGAAGTTATAACATGAGGACATAAGGTGACAGCACTTGCCTGGTTTCTGGTAGATGAGTACTCAGGATTGACAGGCAGAAAAGGCACAACTGTGGTGTCTGTTACCAGCGTGCTGTGGTTCTGAGTGGCCAGCCACACTGAAAAAAGCAAGATGCACATAATGTTTAAATAAAATGTAAAAGAGCTTTATAGACGGTGTGATTTTTGAAAAATTATTTTTTTTAAAACAGTTCTTGTAATTCAACCTGCATCCGTTTCTCTTCTGTCGACTTCATCATAAACATCCATGGCCAGCTCTTCAAACTGATGGTTGCTTAGCTACGGCAAAGTAAGCAGAATTAGCACTTCTGTTTCCTAAAGAATAAACAGCAGATGAAGAAGAGGCTACACTGTAAATGTCACGGGAAACAAATCCCATGTAAAAACGTCTTACCGACTGCAGCTTCTTCTTTGCAGCTTTTGCAAACTCTGACAAATCCAGGCTGCTTTAAATGGAGAAATTAACAAAGTTTATTTATCCTGCAGGAAACGGCTCCACACTCACAAGAACAGTGGCTCGTGGCAAATGAGAAACTTACTTATTTCTTATCCATCAAATGCAGCACAAGAAAATAAGATGGTTAACGTATATCAACGGAAACTCACATTAACTCATTACCAGATCAAGTTTTTCAAATTAAAAGCTTTAACATTTACCTGTCTGCCATCTGAGGAATGATGAAGTGTTGCCCATTTCTGTGATCTGTAGCACAACAATGAAGAGATAATGTTTCAAATATTTTCACAATCAAAAGTTCTTGGGGTTTTTTTGGCAGGGACTGACCCACTAGTGTGGTGAGGATAGCACAAAGTTGGAAGTGGTGATTTATAAAGTTGGTGATATGTATGTAATCTGTTTTATTTTTTAAATCATATGATTTAATCTTATTGTCATTTGTTTTATCTTTCCAATTTTGTATCGAGTACTTAAATATTAAGTACTGTGTTTGCACAAAATATTTTAAATATAGGACTCCAGAAAACACTTTTTTTTTTCAGTTATTTTTTAACAGTTTGTGTTGTTTAACTCATTTTTTTGCATAAAAATGATTGAAAGCCATTTTAAAGCTATTGAATACATCCCTCTAATGCAAAGCTGCAGCTGTGGTTGACTGATTTGCTGCATTTACCTGGTCTTCGTCCACAAAGGTAAAATGTTAGCCGGTCAGTGAGTTCATACTGGATCTCCACTAGTCTCTCTGCCAGCTCCTGATGCCCAGCTTGTCTGCAGAGGTACGGAACAAAAAGGTCAAGTTTCAGAAATGTGCTAAAGAACTACAGCTAAAAATATCTCAGGTACCTTACAATGCCTTACAATGTCAGCATCATATTTTAAATCATGTACTCCCATACTATTCCACTATTTGGAGTGATTTTCAAAATAATTTTGTTTCACAACAAAAAAAAATATTTATTACAGCACTACAACATTCAATTTGATGAAAACCATCACAAATAACAGGTTCTGCTTGTTGGTTTCTGAAGGCTGTGGGGACGGGTTCAGTAAAAGCTCAATAAGGAGCGTTACTTTAAACTGAGTGAGTTACCAGAGTAACAGACTCTCTGAAAGTAACTTGCTCATTGGCAGGCTTTCCTCAACAAACTGAGGTTTTCTGTGACTTTTCACCTCCCACTCTTGAACCAGCAGTCAGACACACTATTTAATTTCCTCATTCATACAGACAATATCAAACCACACAGCAGAGCACATTAAGTCTTATCATCTCATCTATGCGTTATCTTGTCTTCTTACACTATGTAACCGTTTCACTAATCAGTCATCAGTGTAATAGTAGAGTCATTGATAAATCTCATTCAACTAAAACCTGTAAGCTCTTTGACAGCCATCAGGTTGTCTGCCAGTTAGTCTGCACTGAACTATTAAGGCAGTGTTACTGTAGTAATCATTGATCAGGGAATACCAACAACATGTTGTAATCTGTTAAACTAATGTAAAAATGCCTCACACCACACTATTATGTTGGAGTTAGTGTGAGTATTTCTGAGTGAAGACGAGTCTTAGATGACCTTTAGATTCAAAATTTTGGACTAAATGAACAATTGAGAACAATTTTCTCAATATGTGCCGACTGCATTCCATTTTAATGCACCCTGACACTTTTAATCTAAAGCTAAATTGAAACTTACTATAAACTAACCAAGCTGAGTCATCAGCTCACTGCACAACTGAATTCCTCCTTTCTCTTCTGCCTTGCTCGTTTCATTGAATTAGTCAAACTCGGACATAAAGCCACTTTTTGTCTAGCATTGTAAAAGGCATGTTAAATATTTTAGCCATTTCAGCGGGTGACAATATTTCCTCCTCCCCTCCATTTCCAGCTTAGCTGTTTTTGTCCTTTTCTGCTGTGTATTGCTGGCTACTTCCTGTCACTTGCTGTTTTTAGTATCCGGCTAACATTTCCACAAGATACAACATGTAAAGCAAGAGCACAGCTATTTTTTTTTCCCTGTGTATTTTTACATCTGCATCTTGTGCATCATTTCCTGTATCACAGCCACTAATGAGCTGGACTGCATCTCTTAAGGTGATGCTTGCAGCTGCACTAACATTACACATAGGAATCCCAACTTTACAGCGTCAAATACTGTTTCGCAGCTTTCTGCGTTTTCTATACAAGACATATGCCTGAAGTCATTTTCCCAACATACAGAAAATGAACAAGGCTCCTGAATTCGCTTGACTACAACATATGATCCACTTAAATGCGTGAAAGCAGAATGCCACTTAAAAGTGAAACTTCTAAATTTATCTTGCGGTATTAACATCATCAAGTGTCAATATAACATTTCGACTGCTCTCACCTAAAAAAAAACAAACAAAACAAAACCCCAAACCTTTTATCAGAACATTTGAAGGTGTTAAAATAAAAAATACAGGCTATACATTACCTTGCATAATCAATGGGGGTCTTCCCACTCGAGTCCAGCGCCCCAGGATCAGCTCCATAAACTGCCAATAGCTCCGCTTGTAATATTTGACCTGCTTTTGCTGCTATGTGTAGTGGGGTGTTTCCCTTCTCCTAAAATTTGAAGGGGGAAAAAAAAACAGTGGTTAATCATTAGTATTATCATGCCCACTTCCAAATCAACTTTCTGCTTATTCCCCCAAACTTACTGGATGAAAGAAGTTAGCCTGAGCTCCTAAAGATAAGAGTCTAAGGCAGGTCTCCAGGTTCCCAGTACGGACACTGGAATGAAGTTGCTGAAAGACATTTAACAAGAACCTTGTTTAAAATCCGTTACAGCTGATTATGAAGACACTGTGTTGGCTTTAGGCCTTCTTATAACTTTGGTGACAGGTTATTTCTTTTTAATGCAGTACTCTGTTGAGATATACATATACACATAACGACCAGCCGCATTGCCATACAAGGTGCCTCCACGACAGCACAACAGTCGCTGCACACTATAAAAAATTTCAGGAACAGCAGCAACCCAAGACATTTAACGAACGCCATTCTACAAAGAAAGTTCAACACAGCCAGACTTTTTTTGGCTGAGCGTCTGAAAAACCATTCAAACCCCAGTTGAAGATAACGGCTATCACAGTGGTGGTTACCAGCTTCCTCTTTTAAGCAGAGTGTCTGCTTCAGGCTCTGTTCACGGTCACATAAAAAGTGGCTTTTAAAGGTCATATAAAAGGGTAATTAAAATTCTATAAAGGACATAAAAACTGCAAAAGTAAAATGCAACACTATTGCAAATTAATGCAGGAAAAAAAGTATTAATCTAGCAATTTAGTACAGAGTGATAATATAAACATTTTAATTCAATTTAATGTTTTGTTTTTTTATTGCCGAGTACGCTCTCTGTGCTTTAATCTGGATAGATTTTAACAAGAAATCTTACCATCCCACAGCCTAGTAAAGGCGACATGGACAAGTGAAATTTATTTTATCAACTGAACAGGTGTTCTTGGTGTAAAGGCGACATGGACAAGTGAAATTTATTTTATCAACTGAACAGGTGTTCTTGGTGTGTGTTCTGTGTTCTAGTTGCTGAATTCCCACAGATTACAATCAAGTAGAACAACATTAAAACATTTTCTGCATCAACAAATCAATACATGCACATTCCCAGGACAATGTGACGCACAGTCAGAGTTAGCACTTCATTCAGTAAGTTATGGCTTAACAAGCTGCACATATAAAAAAGTATGCCACCAGCACAGAATCTACATAAGACTTAAAACATACTGTAAATAAAAGAATCACTGAAAATGTGGCACTTCCAGATGATTTTAAATTAAGACTCAGAACATACCTTGTTCCCGACCAGGTTAGGTGTTCAGCATAAGTTACCATGGTTAATAATCCAGGTAAAAAACATGGACACAGAAAACTCTGATTTTAATCACATAGTCCCCTAAGCCATTAATGTTGCTTTATAGTCCACTCATTTGCCTTCTGCCTGCCATTCCCCAGAACCTAATCCAATCAATCATCCACAGGATGCACTAGAATAGGTTTGACCTACACAGACCCCACCCGACAATCCCTCACAATCCACAGGAGGACAACTTCCTCCACAGGATAGCCCCATGTCCATGCCCTGTTTGGTGACATTGGGGAGGGGCTACGTAATATTAGTAGCCCAGGTTAAGTTTGAGGAAACTCATCACTGGATTTTGCAGGAACTGGTCAGATATCAACATTAAAATCAAACACTTGCTGTATTACAATAAAGTCTCAAAGATCCTCTTTTTTTTGAACGTCTAATAGTGTTACAAGAGGAACGTTTAAATGAAACAACAGAGTAAATTGTCACCTTGCTGAGGTCTTTTGCAGTCACACTGTCATCCTCCCGACAAGGCATCCGATGTACATACGCCAGCATCTGATATTTTGCCTTGATGAACTCTGTCTTATTAGGACTGGAAACAACAATAGACTCTCACAATCTCAAAATGTGGACATTAATTACAAGTTTTCAAGTGAGCACATCACTGTTTATCTTTGTTTATGATTAAGACAAACACTGACGAGAAGCGAACACTTAAACTGGACATTAAACAATGGACTGCAGATTTGTATGTGCAGCATTACATTAATGGCAGAGAAACGTATCGGTCATGTAAACCACCATACCGCCACAACGCTAGATTCGTCTGGCTTTCACGTAAGCCAAGAATCTTAGGGGTGCAATTTAGGTCACATCCAAACTCTGTCGTTGCTCGTTTTAATACAAAATATTTACGCAAATAGAAAAGAATAGTTATAGTAAAAATACCCTAAATTTATTAATCCCAAAAACAACGTCCAGCAATCAGAATAAATCCATATGGTGTGAATGAAGTTGAACAGAATTTAAAGCAGTTGAATTGTCTGTAATTAACCACTAAGCAGCATTGGTCCCAGCAGAATTCCCCCACAGTTCCAGTGGTTTTAAAACACCTGGAACTAAACATTTCAAACTACACCTTAAGGAACTAAATTTAGCCTGTTTCCAGTTTAAACTGCTGAGCACCCAAGATCCTTAAAATGTTTCTCGGGGAAAGTGCTTGTGGTGGAAACCTTATAAGATAGCGTCCATCTCAGAAATTGCATTTGGGAAGAAGTTATGAAAGTGCTTGCTCCAAGTGTGCGGGTCAGACACAGCACTGCTGTGATTACATGTGGCTGACTGTTTATCTTTACTCCCCAAGCTACACAGCAGACTGACATGGTGTTTATAACAGGCTTTAGTACATCAAATCTCTTTGCTTCGCAGATTTTGTTTTTGTTGTACTATGACTTCTAAAGGATGGGAAAAACTCCTCACAAAAAGCATTACCTTTAAAGGAGGTACTCTTCTAAAATTCAGTTTCTTGCATGATCATGTAGCTGATCAGCTAGACCGCACTGCAGATATATTTATTTTCAAACGTGCTTGTCAGCTGATCAAGCAAGTTCTCCAAGTAAGTTAAGACTGACTATCTGTGAGTGACGTTCATGGTAGAGCGGGCTGATTAGGCATGTTTACTGACCTTAGCAAAGAAAATCAATTTTGTCAATACAATTTAATATCAAAGTGCAATCAAGTGTACCAAAAACCAGCAATGACATATTTTTAAAAATAAAACTTACTGCACTCTGTCCTGTGGGTTGGCTTTGCGTTTCCCACTCACTGAAGAGGAAGGATCCAGAAGACTGTGCTCCCATATGGAATTAGCTCCATTGCCATACAGTGTTTGAACCATCTGAAACAAGAAAGCACATTAACATTTTTAGAACAGGCAGAAAATACTTTGGGGATTCCTAGTCATACATGGTCCTCTTATATATTTACATATTGCATTATGGAGAACAGACTGTACTCATTTGCATCTTTGCGTTTGATTTATGGAGATCGTGTCCCCGCTTCCCCACCTGCAGCTGTGAGTGTGGCCACGGAGAATGAGTCAGATGTCGGACTTGAGAGCTGTGTCTCCCAAGACCTCGATGGATGCTGCAGCACTCATCGCAGATCAGCACACCCCTGTTAACAGAGGCCCAGCGAGGTTCTACGATACAGATACAGTGCTTTTTATCCCATGAGTCTAATATTTGATGAACAACGTAACAGACAGCCTTAACCCAGAGCAGTAACTCCCTCTAACCAGACGAAGATATTCGCTGACTTGCAGTAAGACATGACTGCTTTAGGTAAGGTGTATCCCACCCTCAAATCTTTGACATAATCAAGAAACGTTTTCACAAGCATTAACACCCACTGTGCGGCATTACTGATTATCAGCAAGTTAGCGCTGTCTTCCGAGCAGTCTTATTTAAGAAATTAAATAATACTGCCTTTAACGCACCACTAACCTTACTGTAACCCGACAACCAATACAGTCAAGCAACTAGTTCAGAATAAGACAGGTTAATGTGATTACACAGGCACGCCTTCACAAAAAGGGGGAAAAAAGAGGAAGAAAAAAAACACCTAACGTTTCCACAAGAAAAAATACAACCGCTACAATTAGTAATTCAGCTAATTGCTAATTGTTAGTACAGTCGCAGTAACTAGCCAGGCTAACAAGACGCTCCGATAACTTATAGTGGGGGCTAGCTGGTTAGCTGGATAGCTAACGTTACAGCTAGCTTGTCTGGCATCGTACCCGGAGCACTGCAATCAGCGCAGACCTCTCTGCTTCGCACTCGCTTTGACATCCCTTAGACGAAATCCTTCGAGTCCAGGAGAAACAAATATCTGGAAGTTACGTTGCAACACAGCTACACAGAGATATGACAGGATAGTTCGCCCGGCTGATTGTATTTTACACTTTTAGCGACTGTAGCCGTCAGCCCTCCCCTCTGTTGAACAAAGCCGTGACCCATTCCAACACTCACACAGCCTCCTCCGCGCCTCATAGGCTGCTTCCTTCCTTGTTTCCTTCAGTGGCTTCTAAAGGCCCTACAGAGTGCAGAAAGCACCACCATCAGGAGACTAACGCGATAAAGGAAAATTGTCACACTGGACACAATAAAAGCCACCCTGGCCTGCCACTGAAATTAACAAAAGTGGAAATTCACTGTTCGGTATGAATAAAATAAATACAATGTACAGTGCAGATTTGTTTAATTGATTAATTGTATTTATTTATTTACTTGCATTCTTGTCACGCATACATCTTTCAGATCATCAAGACACAAAATCCACTTTTGGTGGTGGTGGTTTTATTTAAGAGGAAAAAAATATCCAAATATAGGTGGACTTTTTTCTTCTTCTTTTTTTTTTTTAAAGAAACCAATCAGGCACCCAGGTCTGATTACTGCCAGACCTGCTGAATCAAGAACTCAATTAATTAGAAACTGTCTGGCAAAGTAGGCTAAAAGATCTCAAAAGTAACAAATTGAGATGCTTTGGCATAACACCAAACAGGCCATTTATCCTAGAAAAATCTTCAGTGTGGCTCCATTAAAGCAATTCTGCAAAGAAGAGTGAGACACAATTCCTCCTCAGTGATGTGAAAGTCTAATTACCTTTGCACATGTTTGACTGCTAGTTATTAGGTTTGGTGGCAACTGCTTTTACACATAGGGTCGGGTCGTTTTGAAAACCCTTTTCCCTTAATAAATGAAATAAGCATTTGAAAATTGGATTTTATACTGTATTTATTGAGAGAACTTTATGTCACTTTTAATTGTTTGTTTACTTCTGGCATCTCCTTTTAGATTAAACTTTTTTTTTACTCCAGTACATAGATCTGGCACCCTCAAAGCCACTACATTTTGCATATCATCAAAAAAGATTATAGAATAAAATGCATTCATTCTCTAAAACTTCAAACTAAAACATCTGTTGCAGAGGATTACATTAGAGCACAGTAAACAGAAGAGAAATGGCTTTCCTCTGCTCAGAGCCCACAGCCCACTTTATTTCAAATAGCCACAATAGGCACATCTCAACATCATTTTGAGGAAGTATAGGGCTTGGTTGAATGCAAAAGAAATCACTATTGAGAGTTCTTCACCTCTTCACCTCACTGTGCAATACCGTTTGTGCAATACTTTTGTTAATAGTCAATGGTGCAATAGACCTCAATACTTGAAATGTGCAATTCACTTGTATTTTTATTTTATTCCTATTTATTCTATTTATCCCCTTCGTATATTTTATTTATATATGTCTCTGTATTTATATATATGTGTGTGTGTGTGTGTGTGTATATATATATATATATATATATATATAATATTCTGTAACTGTAACTTCTGTCGGTGCTGTGCTTTTGGAAACCGAATTTCCCAGAGGAACCCACCCGAGGGATTAATAAAGTTTTATCTTATCTTATCTTCTTCAACCTGACACAAGGAATGGACATCAGACCAGCTAGAATCTGTGCTTTGTCCTGATGAGTCCAAATGTGACATTGTATGTATACTGTGCTGTTCTGTTCTTGTGCTGCCTAAGATGTTTCCAAATCAGAAGCAGTACATGGCTGCTTGGTTTGTGGGTTTTTTTTGTTGTTTTTTTTTTGCCTGTCCCATTTGGTTCTTTAGCCGTCAGAATTGCGCACAATGTGCTTTGAAGTAGCAGCCAAGAAAGGTGTAGTTTATGTCTATGAACAGTGAACACCCGTGTGCACACCTGTGTGGATCAGCGCACTTGTATTCAAA